ACTCCTTTCCACCTCAATCCAAGGAGGCTGTCCTGGTCCTAAACCAGGGTCTGTCATCAGTAATGGACTGGATGAGGGCAAACAAAAAGAAACTTAATCCAGACAAGACAGAGGTGCTCCTTGCCAGTTGGAACAGCAGATCAGGGAATAGGGATCCAGCCTGTGTTAGATGGGGTCACACTCCCCCTGAAGACACAGGTTCGCAGTTTGGGGTACTCCTGGACTCAAGCTGGAGACCCAGGTCTCTGCAGTGACCAGGTGCGCTTTTGCACATTTAAAACTTGTGCGTCAATTGCGCCCATTCCTTGAGACGCCGGATCCGGCCTCGGTGGAACATGTCTTGGTTACATCTCGTTTGGACTACTGCAATGCGCTCTACTTGGGGCTGCCTTTGAAGAGTGTTCGGAAACTTCGGCTGGTCCAAAGAGCTTTTAAAGAACAGCCTGGGGTGCTATATTATTTTAATATATTTTAAACATTTCTATCTTCTTAAAGTATTCGTAATCTGTTTTAATTATTGTAGTAATTTAATTCTGTTTTTAATGTACTATTTTTGTATGTTTTTAATGGTATTGTTTTTTAATGTTGTAAGCCATCCTGGGTCCCAGTCCTGGGAGAAGGGTAGGAAATTAATAATAATAATAATAATAATAATAATAATAATAATAATAGACAAAGGGATAGCAGAAAGTGAAGGGGAGGAAGAGAAGATATGAGAGAGAAAAAGTGGAAAAAGAAAAGTGTGGCATAAGGAAAGGAAGGCTGAGAAAAGGAGAGAAAATTCAGAAGAAGCAACAGAAAAGTGGAGAGGGAAGGATGGTGAAAGTAGAAGGACAAAGAGAGGGAGGGAAGGGAAAGCAAATGGAAAAGAACGTAAATGGGAAAATAAAATATAATAAATAAAGTGATCAACAGCCAGGACAAGAAGCCAGTCCTAGACAAGCACACATACAAGACGATTCGTCACGTCTTGGTCTTCATGGCTGGAGCCAATGTCTGATTTTTGATCTATATGGGCAGCTTCCCAGGTCTGGCACTCTTAGTCCAATTCCAGTTCCAAATGAAAAGGGACAACAAAAATGCAAGAGACTATGCATACACATTGTCCTATTAGTCCTCTCCCACTTGTACCGTAATTCATTACTTTTCTAGTGAATGTTCTATATGGGAGCCAGAGTGAGATGAGTTTTAAAAGGTAACCATACAAGTCTCTTTGGGATGGTGATCATGTTAAGAAGGGCGTCCCCCGCCCCCGGATCCATTTCAAAATGGCTGTCTGTGTCTGATAAGGGGAAAGATTATTATCATGAACAAAACATAATTCAGAACATACTGCTTCTCACAGTCCATAGTTATAATTTTGTGCCCTTAACAGGATGGAAATGCTCCTGTTCGTCAGGCAGTGTAAAGGACTTTAATATGGAGACAGGTTTCATTAATTCCACGTCTAGGAAACGGAAAGGCTAAGGCCTTTAAAAAAGTCTACACTTTCAGAAGAAAACCAGAGACATGGCAGCATCTAGATCTGTTTATTGCAAAACAGTGAATGCGAGGTGAACTGGGAAAACAAATCAAATCCCAGACAAATCTAAATTCTATAGTGGTCCTAGCTCAAATACACCAACCTTTTGTTGTTATCCTATGTATGCATTAGGATGATCATAACCAACCCTCTCCATCCCTCAATATATTGATTCATCTTTCTCGAACATTACCTCTGCCCAAAGTTCAGCATCAACACCAAGCAATGAAACATAGTAAAATTTGCATGCACTTGCATATATTAATGTGCTCTAATAACCCCCCCCTTCTCTGCTTTCTCACAAACTCTTTCATATTCCTATTGCTCAATACTGTCCCACCTTTCTAGAACTTGAACCCATCGTAAGTTATCCTTCTCTCATTGTATCTCTTGAGATTAAAGACTCATTATCTCAATACAAATGATACTCCTTTGATACCACCTGAACGCCCATTGCCCCAGCCTATGAAATCCTGGGATCTGTGATTCTGTAAGATATCCAGCATTTTCCTAACAGAGAGCTCTACTGATTGACCAAACTACAAATCCCAGACATCCATAGAATGCAGCCATGGCAGTTAAAGTGATATCAAAGTGCTGTAATTGCATTGATCTTTCTGCAATTTCATACTGGCCTTTGGACTGGCATTTACCTTAAGCCTTTATAGTATTTTGATATAGGGATGGTTTTTGTATATGCTTAGCCTGGTATGTACAGGTTGAGTCTCCCTTATCTGGAAATGCAAAATTCAAAATATTCCAAAATCCAACATTTTCTATATGGGTGGCTGAGATAGTGACACTGTTGCTTTCTGCTGGTTCATTGTATACAAACGTTGTTTTGTGCACACAATTATTAAAAATATTGTGTACAAAATAACCTTCAGGCTATGTTATAAGGTGTATACAAAACTTAAATGAAAATCATGTTTGGACTCAGGGGTCCCATCACCATGATGTCTCACTATGTATGTGCAAATATTCCAAAATTTGAAAACTATAAAACCTAAAACACTTCTGGGCCCATGCATTTTGGATAAGAGAGACTCAACCTCTACCACATTATCATTGTATGTATGTGCGTGTGTTTTATTTTTAATTACTTGGAGAATTTGTTTTTTAAAACAATTTTGTTAAAGTGCTGTAATTGCGTTGTATGAAAGAGACCTAGGAATGACTTTTCTGGTTTGACTTCTGCTTTGCTTGCATGGTGTAGTGGTTTGTCTTTGGACTATGACTTTGGAGACCAGGGTTCAATTCCCAGCTCGGCCATGAAACCCACTGGGTGACCTTGGGCAAGTCACACACTCTCAGCCTTACAGGAAGGCAATGACAAACCTCCTCTGAACAAATCCTGCCAAGAAAACTCCATGTCAGGGTCACCATAAGTCAGAAATGACTTGAAGACACACAACACACATGCACACTCCAACCCACTGTTCCACTTCCCTGCAAAACTAAGCATCTCCCTACTCATGCATATCCATAGCAACTTTTGCCCTATCCTTTTAATGCCCCAAGATCCTCACCTCGTAATGGCCAACTCCTGCTTCTGCCGGGCCATGCTGACCGCTCTCCTGGCCACTTCCACAGCGCGGTCAACTTTCTCCTTGACCTTGCTCCGGCGAAGGGGAATCAAGTTCTTCACTTTCCCACTCACCAACCGGTTGAGCTTGTATTTCCCCTCTTCTTTGGAGCCATCGGGGTAGGTGGTCCGCCCGTAGCCATGTCGCCGGTTACCCAGCCACTCGCCCTCATACCTCAGGCCATTGGAGCGGCGACTCACACCATAACCACTGCGCCGGTCGGCTCGCCACTCTCCAGCATAGACCTCAGTGGACGAGCCCTCAATGGTCAACGTTGAAGGCAGCTCAGGTGGCTCTGTCTCGGCATAGCTGAGCGTGGTGGCCTCGCTTCCGGCTGAACTCACCCCTGCCTCGCTCTTGAGGGACCCTCGCTTGCTCCCCAGGGAGGCCTTGGATTCAGCCCTCCGTACCCTCAGCCCACTCAGGAGGAGGGAACGCCGAAAGAAGCCCCCCGTTTTCTTTTTAGCTCCCTTGGGGAAGTCTGGGTCACCAGGAAAGGCCAAAACAAAACCACCCCTGGATCCCGAAGCCGGGCTGTCCCCAGGGAGTGGTGGCGGGGCAACAGGGGGAGGAGGTAGGGGCAGAGAAGGGGCATTCGGGTCAGTCTCGCTGGGGAGTGATTCCAGAGAGGTCCGGCGTGGAGAGCGCACCAGGGCGGCTTGACGGTAAGGGACGCTTTGCCGGACACCATAGCCATGACGCTTTCCAGACTGCCATTGGCCCTGGTAGGTACCTGCAAATCAGAGAAGGAAACAGAACCAGTTAACTGAGAGAAATTGGGAAGGATGTGGGGATGCCTGAACAGAAATTGAAAAAGGGAGGTGGAAGTTAGGTCCAGAAGAATGGTTTCTCAGGCCTAGTAGGTGCAAAGAGCTTCTGACATCCATTAGGACTGTGTTTTGGTTGGAAAAAAGTCCAAGGAGGGGCTGTGATAGCAAAATTGCTGAGTTAGCAGGTAGCTTTCTTTCTTCTGAGCCTGTTTAGGGACACAAAACCATCCCCAAATGAGCCTGGAAACAAACTTAATATGGGTGGAAGCTTTGGGGAACTGCAAGGGGCTTTAGGGGTCACAAAATGGAGGTGCTGCATTTAGCCTGTTTTCCCCACCTGTTTTAGGTGTATTAAAAGAGGGTCACAGATCCAGTGTAGCAATGCACACATATAATCTCATGTAGTGCCTCCACTTTATTTATTCTCTTTAAATTTTTATTTGATATGCTGCTTTTCTACTGACGTAGGAACACCCCCTCCCCTTTTAAGGGAAGAGAAAACTGAAAAGGACTGATCAAAACAAAACTCAGAGGATCAATGCAATGAATTTTTAAACCGAATACTTTCCTTCCTAATAAGCTTATGAAGTTAGCTGATTTTATTCTCATTAAAAACAGTAGGCTTTACTGAGAGCAAGCAAGCCATGTGTTCAAAACTTACCAGGCTTTTGAACTTATGCATCTCTAGTTCATGAATGAGCAAAGTGTAGCCTTTCAAATTTTGTTGGATTACAGTTCCCAAGAGCCCTATCTATTGGTGAAGGCTGCTGGAAGTTGCAGTCCAATGACATTTGGAAAGCAACACTTTGGCCCTTGTAGCCTAGATAAAATCAAGCCAATTATTTGCCAAATTTCAAACTTTTGTCCACCAGATGTTGGAGACTGCAATTCCTGATGATTGCCCATGTTGGCTATGACATTGGAAACTGAGAACAGGAGGTCGAGAAACACTATACTGCACAACCCTACTTCTCAGCACTGGAAGATATAAACAATGGGGAGAAAATGTGATGGAGAGATATGGGAAAGTTGAGAAGCAAACAGTCAGCCCTGTGAGCAACATACTAAACTGAGAAACTGAGGGATGCACTGTTTAACTGGATGGAAGGATGGATGATGGAGAATGGAACATAGTGGTATACCTAGTGACAGGAAAAGTTACAGAAGGCAGGAACAGGACCTGTTCGTTCATGCCCTGCCCGGCCTTCTCACCTCCATCAGCATATGTCTCCATGCCATATCCATCCTGCAGGCCATCGCGCCACATGCCTTCATAGATGACTCCGGAATGGCTTTCCCAGACACCCGAGCGCCCTTTCAGCCCATGGCTCCACTCCCCCTTGTAGTTCCACTTGCTCTTGCGCTCCACGCCCAGTCCGCTGCGCTTGCCTTGACTCCAGTGGCCTTGGTAGGTGTTCCCACTGGGCCAGGTGTAGACGCCCAGGGACTCAAAGCCACGGCTCCAGCGCCCACTGTACTCCCCCTGGGCTCCGGGGCCTGTGCAGACGCCGTAGCCATGAGCCCGGCCCTCCTCCCAGTCACCCACATAGCAGCCGCCATCGTCAAAGTCGAACCTGCCTCCGTTGGACATTCATGTAACGTTGCTCCCCGGTCAATCGGGCTCCAGTTACCCACGAGTCCCTGCGTGCATCTCTGCTCCTGCTTCTTGGGCACCTCTACATGGCGCTGCCCCCCGGACCAAATTCAGTCTCTCAAATCTCCTTCCTCAGAGCCAGACATCTGGCAATGTTCCTCTTTCTTTGGGCCTGAGGTCTCCACCCAAAGATCTAGAACTACGGCTAGACCAAGGTCTGAGGGGGTTTTTTGGGAGGGGGGATTGGTTGCACACACACAAGGACCTGTAAGCTTCTCTAGATTTCTTGAACTTCTCTGGATTCACTGTGCTTCTGTTTGCCAAAACAGAGAAACCTAAGACACAGTCCAAGGCCAACACCTAGTGTTTATGGATATGCAATAGAGCTACACCTAAGCTTAAGTGCACGCTCCTCATGTTACAGATGTTGGAAATCCTCAGAAACCTCTGATTATCTCTGAACAATCCCTTGTGTCATTGGTAATTCTAGGAGAGCAGAGACTTTGAAGTTTCTGCCTACAAGGACAATTCAGTACTATGGTTGGGGCTTTCTGGTTACCAGCGTAATACCAGTATCTCAAGAGATCTCCAGCTGTAGGTAAGCACAGGACTTGCAAGTATATCAGGACCAGCTAGTTTTTCCTAGTTAGTAGCCTGCAGTCCCTTGGGAGCTTGCTGGCTACAGGTTATCCAGAAAGGCCTGAACTTCTGTGGGCTGTACAGGTGTGTGTTGAAGCTAATGGCATTCCAGGTTGTTCTTTGACAGCAGTCCTTTAAGGGCTCTAAACCAAGAGAAAAGCTAGGATTTCTTTGGCCAGCACCAAACATTCCAGAGTTCCTAGAGGTCCCTTGTTATCAGAGGACAGCGTTCCTAGAGGTAAGCACTCAGTCGGCTACTTCTGGAGATTTAGACAGCATTCCACAGCTGATGTCACTGGTTAGACAGAGGGCTGTAAATGACTCCTTGGGGTTATGGGCATGAGAAGGCCCAGAGGCCTTTGGTTTACAGGCATATGGTGATCTTGAATTGCAGACTGGTCAGAGGGCAACTCCTTGGCGTATTATGTACACAGATCATGCTGGGCATTCATAGGCAGCAGTGCAGTGCTCCCCTAGTTGCAGCGATCCAGAAAGGGGCAGTGATCTTGGCGTTGGTGGGTTACTGTCCAGGGGCCCTCTGCTTTGCTCTTCCAGCTGGTCTCAGTGGTGTCAGGGCACAAGTGAATGGAGGGTCTGTAATGTTCTGGCTTCAGGCATCAGTAGCAACAGTCAACCTCCTGGCTTCTGGTCTTCTTCCTACTAATGCCCACATGGGCTCAGCAGGAGTGGGGGCACTTCAGAGGATAGCTGGGTGTTCACAAAAAGTGGGCAGATTCTTCAAAGGGTGGAGGAGAGGCAGAAGAGCTGCTGAAGAAGACCTCATGGTACCAAAAAGAAGTGAACAACCTGCACCAAGAGACACATGGATTAGGTGAACGCAACTGAACTTTTAAAGAAGAGACAGAGGCTGAGAAGCAGGCAATCTTAAGAACGCATCTTTCAGAATGCAGAATTGATATACAGAATTTGTTCAGTGATTGTTATTGAAACCCAATACAGGAAAAGCTAGACACTCATAAATGGCTCCTCTCATAAAGATACACAAGTAAATGCATACATGCACCATGGATGGACACACACAACGCACACACGCAATAAATCAATTAAGGTATGAATATTTTGTAAACAAGGGACAGAAAGCCCACCCAAAGCTGCACAGAACATATTCCCAGCAGAAGCAGAATGGCATCAAAACAGAAATAGATGCATGCATACACGCACACAGACACACAAAGAGAAAGAATGGACACACAGGTGCTCAAGCACAGCTTGATGGGGGTCAGAAAGTGGGGCGCCCAAATCCATAATGCGAGACACAGAAGGAAGCAATAAGGTATGCTAAGTCAGCAATGCACGAACACACAAATGGGAATGGTGTATCACACGCACTCCTGCACTCCTTATTAGCTGACCACTTTTGCACAGAATCTTTTAATAACCTGCAGATACAAATACACACATGCACCGCTCTTCTGCTACCCATCGACAGAAAAGAGGTCTACAAAACGGATAAGAAAAACAGACCCTCCCCTTGAAATATACAAATGCACGGTTATTAATCCAAGACTATAAACTGTCTACAAAAATACAAAAGGAAGATAGAAAAAGAACATTTTGAGGAGATTTGGGGGATAAACACAGCACTCTGAACACGATGTAGAAAGCAAAGAATGGGTCTCATTTATTTCATGACAGCTGCATGCAGACATTAAAAGCAGTATG